CCCCAGTTACTTGGGAGGCTGAGGCAGGAGAATGGCGTGAACCCAGGAGGCGGAGCTTGCAGTGAGCCGAGATTGCGCCACTACACTCCAGCCTGGGTGACGGTGCGAAGACCCCAACTCAAAAAAAAAAAAAAAAATTAATAATGGGCTGGGGGCAGTGGCTCACGCCTGTAATCCCAGCACTTTGGGAGGCCGAGGCAGGCAGATCACAAAGTCAAGAGTTTGAGACCAGGCTGGCCAAGATGGTGAAACCCTGTCTCTACTAAGAATACAAAAATTAGCTGGGCATGGTGGCATATGGCTGAAATCCCAGCTCCTTGGAAGGCTGAGGCAGGAGAATCACCTGAACCCAGGAGGCGGAGGTTGCAGTGAGCCGAGATCGCACCACTGCACTCCAGCCTGGGTGACAGAGCAAGACTCTGTCTTAAAAAAAAATAAAGAAAGAAAAAATTAATAATGGCTATTACTATGTTGCAGGATACGAGGAGATTTTCAATTTCATTATACTTTACTATATTTTCCAAATTTTCCATGCCAACTATGACTTAAAAATCAGGAAAATATGTCATTTAAAATATACTGAAAAACAGAAAAAAAAATAAAAGAAAAAAGAGTTTTACAAACAGTCAAATAAATAAAAGGTAACAGTATTATCGGCCAGGTGCAGTGGCTTACGCCTGCAATCCCAGCACTTTGGGAGGCTGAGGTGGGCGGATCACCTAAGGTCGAGAGTTTGAGACCGGCCAAGCCAACATGGAGAAACTCCATCTCTACTAAAACTACAAAAAAATTAGTCAGGCATAGTGGTGCATGCCTGTAATCCCAGCTACTCGGGAGGCTGAGGCAGGAGAATCGCTTGACCCTGGGAGTCGGAGGTTGCAGTGGGCTGAGATCGCGCCATTGCACTCCAGCCTGGGCAACAAGAGCGAAACTCCATCTCAAAAAAAAAAAAAAAAGGTAACAGTATTATCGTTAGAGGCCCACATACTACCAGGATAGAATGCCACATGTCAAGGGGGTGATGGGCTCTCCTGGAGCTGCCTGTCCCAGGCTCTCTGGGATCCACACTCACACCTCTGGGTAACACTCGACACATCTTACCATAATTACATATTCATCTGGCTCTCTAACCAGAATGTAAGTTCTTCCAGAGCAGAATTTATCTTGTCTTCCCTCTAGCTGAGAGCACAGTGCCAGCCAGAGCAGTCACCTGATAATGGCTGACAGAGTAAGGAACGCATGAACCCTTACCTTCCAATGCATCATCTCCAACTTCTTCATATGTCTGCCAAGAGACCAGAGATGTGGGTTAGGGGGATGGTGAAATCCTGGTCCAGGACCACAATGGCTTATTTCTTTTATTTTAATTTTTTTGAGGTGGAGTCTAGCTCTGTCACCCAGACTGGAGTGCAGTGGTGTGATCTTGGCTGACTGCAACATCTGCATCCCAGTGGCAAGTGATTCTCCTGCCTCCGCCTCCTGAGTAGCTGGGATTATGGGCGCCTGCCACTATGCTCAGCTAATTTTTGTATTTTTGGTAGAGACAGGGTTTCACCACGTTGGCCAGGCTGGTTTTGAACTCCTGACCTCAGGTGATCCACCTGCCTCGGCCTCTCAAAGTGCTACTAGGATTACAGGTGTAAGTCACCGTGCCCGACCCACAATGGCTTATTTTAACAAGAGGAACTGGACTGCTTCAACTTTCCCTATTTTTCTGAAGCCCAAGCCCCTGTCCTGTCCTTACCAATCCCATCTTAGAGAATCACCTGTTTCTAGTGGAGAAACACAACCCAAGGGGACCAGTCTTGTCCAATCATGGTTACCTGCATGGTGCTCTGGGTATAGCCATACTGGGGGTAACTGTAGCTGTAGCTGCCTGTGTTCTGGTCATAGCCCCACTGAGCATAGTAGTTCTGGTACTGCTGATAATACTGGTTGTAGCTGTAACTGTACATCTGACTATATTCCACTGGCTTTACACGGCTCCTTAAATGAAGACAGAAACAAAAATAAACGTAAGCAAACATTTCCATAACACTGCCCATGTGGCCAGAGACTATTTTAAGTGCTTCATACTGATTAACTTTTTTTTTTTTTTTTTTTTGAGACAGAGTCTTGCTCTGTCGCCCAGGCTGGAGTGCAGTCACGTGTTCTCAGCTCACTGCAACCTCTGCTTCCCGTGTTCAAGCGATTCTCCTGCCTCAGCCTCCTGAGTAGCTGGGATTACAGGTGTGTGCCACCATGCCTGGCTAATTTTTTGTATTTTTAGTAGAGACAGGGTTTCACCATGTTAGCCAGGCTGGTCTCGATCTCCTGACCTCGTGATCCGTCCTCCTCAGCCTCCCAAATTGCTGGGAGGCTGGCCACCAATGAACACTTTTAATCCTAAAAACAACCATATGCAATAAGTGTATCAATATTCCTATTTTACAGATGAGGAAACTGAGGAATAGAGAGGTTAAGTAATTTGTCCAAAGTCACACAGCTAATATGAGAGTATGGCTCCAAGGACCATGCTTGTAATACAGGAGGTTTTAATGGATAGGTTTGTCTGTCTTACCAAACTTTGTCAGAACTGGCAAAAGGATATCCTGTTTAAAAAAAAAAAAGGGCTGGGCACGGTGGCTCACGCCTGTAATCCCAACACTTTGGGAGGTGGAGGCAGGTGGATCACCTGAGGTCAGGAGTTTAAGACCAGCCTGGACAACATGGTGAAACCCCATCTCTACTAAAAATACAAAAAATTAGCTGGGTGTGGTGGCACGCCTGTAATCCCAGCTACTTGTGAGGCTGAGGCAGGAGAATCGCTTGAACCTGGGAGACAGAGGTTGCACTGAGCCTAGACTGCGCCATTGGACTCTAGTCTGCTCAATAAAAGTGAAACTGTTTCAAAAAAAAAAAGAAAAGAAATGATGGACAGATGTGGAAGGCTAAGGCAGGAGAATCGCTTGATCCTGGGAGGCCCAGCTAATTTTCGTACTTTTAGTACAGATGGGATTTCACCATGTTGGTCAGGGTGGTCTTGAACTCCTGGCCTCAAGTGATCCACCCAAGTCAGCCTCCCAAAGTGCTGGGATTACAGGCATGAGCCACGGCGCTCCTCCTTTTATTTTTATTATTTATTTATTTATTTATTTATTTATTTTTGAGACGGAGTGTCACTCTGTCGCCCAGGCTAGAGTGCAGTGGAGTGATCTCGGTTCACTGCAAGCTCCTCCTCCTGGGTTCACGCCATTCTCCTGCCTCAGCCTCCCGAGTAGCTGGGACTACAGGAGCCCACCACCACGCTCGGCTAATTTT